TGTCTGGCCCCAAAAAGAATTCCTAGAAGAATTCAAAAAGAAGTTTAAAAATCAAATAAAAGAGGTAGAGGAAAAATTGGAGGAAGTGAAAGTGATGCAAGAAAATAATGAACGAAGAGTCAACAGTTTGGTAAAGAGGCACAAAAAAATATTGAAGAAAAAACACCCAAACCAGAATTGGCCAAATGGAAAAGGTGGTATAAAAGCTCACTGAAGAAAATAGTTCCTTAAAAATTAGAATTGGGTAAGTGGAAGCTAATGACTCCACGAGACATCAAGAAACAATAAAACAAAGTCAAAATAATAAAAAAAAATAGTTTATGTGAAATATCTTCTTGGAGAAATAACTGACCTGGAAAACAGATATCTAAGAATTATTAGACTATCTGAAACTCATGGGGGAAAAAAAAAGAGTATAGACTCTCCTTCAAGAAATTATCCAAGAAAACTGCACTGATATTTTAAAACCAGAGGGTAAAATAGAAATTGAAGAAATTCATTGATCATTTTTTGAAAGAGATCCCAAAATGAAAACTCCCAGGATTTTCAGTAGCCAAATTCCAGAGCTCCCAGGTCAAGGAGAAAATATTTCAAGCATCCAGAAAGAAATAGTTCAAATTTCTTGGAGCCACAATCAGGATAACACAAGATTTAGCAGCTTCTACGTGAAAAGATCCAGAGGTCTTGCAGTATGATAATCCAGAGGGCAAAGAAGCTAGGATTATAACCAAAAACATTCCCTGTCCTGCAAAACTGTGTATAACCCGTTGGGGGAAAAATAGACATTTAATGAAATAGAGGGCTTTCAAGCATTTCTGATGAAAAGACCAAAGGTGCATAGAAAATTTGACTTTAAGATACGAGCCTCAAGAGAAGCATAAAAAGGTAAACATGAAAGAGAATTCATAAGGGATTCAATAAGGTTAAACTGTTTACATTCCTAGCTGGGAAGATATTTGTAACTCCTGAGAACTTTATGATTTTTTAGGGTTGTTAGAAGCAGTATACATAGATAGAGGGCACAGATGTGAGTTGAGTATAGATGGGGTGATATGTAAAAAAATAAAATTAAGCAGTGGGAAAGAGGGATCTACTAGGGAAGATAGGGGAAGTGAGATGGTGGTGGTGGTTGTTCAGTCATTCTTTGTGACCCATGGACCATAGCACACCAGGCCCTTCTATCCTCTACTATCTCTCAAAGTCTGTCCAGGTTCATGTTCATTGTTTTCATGCAGCTATCTCTCTCATCCTCTGCCATCTTTTCCATTTGTCCTCAGTTTTTCCCAACATCAGAGTCTTTTCCATTGAGTCCTGTCTTTTCATTATGTGGCCAAAGTATTTAAACTTCATTTTCAGTGTTTAGCCTTCTAGTGAATAGGCTGAATTAATTTCTTTAAGTATCGGCTGATTTGATCTCCATGCTGTACAAGGGACCCTCAAAGTCTGTCTTTTTACCACAATTTGAAAGTGTTGATTCTGTGGCTCTCACCTGTCCTTATAGTCCAGGGGAGAGTGAGAATGGGGTAAATTATCTCACATAAAAGAGGCACAAAAGAGCTTTTGCAATGAAGGGGAAGATAGAGTGTTAGGGATAAGCAACACTTGAACCTTAGTCTCATTGGAATTGGCTCCGAGAAAGGACTAATGTACACATTCAATTGGGTGTGGAAAAATATCTTACCCTACAGAGAAATAGGAGAGGAATGGGGTAAGACTTGAAAGGGGGGCTGGTAGAAGGGAGGGTGGATTGGGGGAGATGGTGGTCTGAACCCTTTTGAGGAGAAATAGGGTGAAAGGAGAATGAGAGGATAAATGGAGAAAATAGGATGTAGGGAAATAGACAGTAATCTTAATTGTAGAAAAAATGTATAGGAAGTTTCTCTGATAAAGGCCTAATTCTCGAATATATAAAGAACTGAGTCAAATTTATAAGAATACAAGTCATTCCCCCATTGCTAAATGATCAAAGGATATGAACAGGCAGTTTTCAGAAGAAGAAATCAAAGTTACCTATATGAAAAAATGCATTGTCACTATTTGAGAAATGCAGATTAAAGTAACTTTGAGATACCACCTCACACCTTTCAGACTGGCTAATATGATAGGAAGAGAAAAATGACAAATTGGAGGGAATGTGGGAAAATTGAGACACTAAAGTACCATTGATAGAGATATAACTGATTTCAGCCATTCTGGAGAGCAGTTGGGACTACAAAATATGCATACCTTTTGACTCAACAATACCAGTACTAGGTGTGTATCCCAAAGAGATTTAAAAAATAAAAAAAGGAGAAGGACCTCTATGTATAAAAATGTTTATAGTGGCTCTTTTTGTGGTGGAAAAGAACTGGGATTTGAAGGGATGCCCATCCACTCAACACATTGTGGCATGTGATTGTGTTGGAAATACTATTGTGCTCTAAGAAATGATGAGCAGGATGCTTTCAGAAAAATCTGGAAAGACTTACATGAACTGATGCAAAGTGAAGTGAGCAGAACCAGGAGAACATTCTACACAGTAACAGCAGTATTGTATGATGATCAGCTGTGAATGACTTAGCTATTCTGAGCATTACTATGATCCAAGACAATTCCGAAGGATTTATGATGAAAAATACCATCCACCTCCAGTGAAAGAACTGATGCAGTCTGACTGCAGATCAAAGCCAACTTGATTTTTTACTTTTTTAATTTCTTGGGGTTTTTTTGTTTGTTTTTGGTCTGTTTTCTTTTACAACATGACTAAAATGGAAATACGTTTTGCCCAACTGCATATGAATAACCTATATCAAATTGCTTGCCTTCTCTACACGGGGGGGGGGGGGGAGGGAAGAGGGAAAGAATTTGGAACTCAAAATTTTAAAGAAATGTTAAAAGTTATTTTTTTGGAAATTGGAAAAAAAATTTTTAAGTTACTAGAACATATTAATACATTGACAAGTCTAGTCATACTCCCCATCATCACCTCCTAAGAATAAAGAAATCTAAATAATTCATTTTGTTTTTGCTAATTAAATTTTTCGTTAAGCTGAAAAAAATTTATTTTCATTTGACTTTATATGACTGTGTAGAGAGGAAGTGAAGAAAGGGGAAAAGCAGAGACACAGATAAGAAACGGTGATATTTATAAATCTCAAAGTCTCATATAAATGTATTTGAATCCCTGTGAGTTTGAAGAAATCTATATGCTAATATAGTTAGATGTTGCCAATACACTGTCTCTGTATTTATTGCATGTATTAATGTATGTAATAAGAGATTAGGGAGTAGGGGTATTAGGACAATAAGTTATAGATTCAGAATTCTCATTGAAAGTATTTTGATCAATTAAGTATATTATTGGATTTTAAATTTTAGAACTGGAAGAGACGTTAGAGATCATCTATATGTCTAACCCCTCTGATTTTTCAGAAATTTCAGAGACCCTTCAAAATTAAGTTTCCTGTAAATCCAAAAGCTTTCTGTTCCATTAATTGCATGGAGAAACACACACACACACACACACACACACTCTCTCACACTCTCTCTCTCTCTCTCTCTCTCTCTCTCTCTCTCTCTCTTCTCATTCTTTAACTTACATACTTTAATGTAAGCAAACATTAATTTGAGCATAGCTCATAGTGGCTATGATTAGTGAGCACACCCAGGGACCCAGCTTCACTGGTAGTTTTAAAGGACCAAAAGTTTTGTAACACACCCAGCATTTTAAGTAGTTTGTAGATTAATCCTCCGATGAGTCCATTTATACATTGTTCAAAATGCTAGCAGCTAGTGTAAGCTTCTGAAGACAAGGTTTTCTTTTTCCTTTTCTTCTTCTTACTTTAATAGTAATGTCTTCTTTCTGTTCTTTTGGAAACATTTAAATTCCCCATTTTAAAAGATTAATTTCGTTGGATCCCTCTTGCAATATCTTCCTTTGACAGCTTCCTTATATGAGTGTGATAATAGCAATAGTTCATATTTGCAAAACACTTTTGTTGTTATTCAATCATGTCCAACTCTTCATTATCCCTGTTGGTGTTTTCTTGGCAAATTTAGTGGAGTGGTTTGCCATTTCCTTCTGCAGCTCATTTTACAGATTAGGGACTGAGGCAGACAGGGTTAAGTGACTTTCCTAGGGTCTCACAGCTACCAAGTTTCTGAGGCCAGATCTGAAATCAAGAAGATGAGTCTTTCCACTGAGCCACCTTGTTGCCCATGCATAACACTTAGAGGTGTTCAAATGATTTTACTGGTATCCCCATTCTTCAGATGAGAAAATGGAGACCCAGAGTATTATAGGAATTGTCCAAGAACATGTAATTGTTAAGTGTTACCTGGAATTTGAACCTAGGTGTCGGCAGATTGAAAGCTGAATTTTCTTTCTCCTATATCACAAATTCAAGTCTTTAATTGACTTTACATTCCAGCTTCATTTTTGCTTGATTCAGTAGCATAATATCAGACTTGAACTGTTATTACAATACTGGATTGTTCTGTTAATATGAAATTACTACAATGATTAATTTCATTAATGCAGACTAGGTTTTAATTCACTGTTTTATATATTTATAGTTCTAATTATTAATCATTTTTCGCCCCTTGGTAGCTCACATATTATTCCAAGAAACCATAATTAAATCATTCATAATATCCTTTGTTCCATGTTAAATTTTTGTATTAAAAAAGAAATAGTATTATAAAGAATGCAGGCTTTAAAATAATAAAAGTGACAATGTGTACAAAGATACAATTTTTAAAAATAGCTTTTAGTTTTAGAATGTATTTAAACATATTTAATTTCTGTAAGATTAGGACATCCTTGTGGAAATCATATATTCCATTATTAAAAATTTAGTGTAGGTCATATGACCATTTGGAAATATAAAAATATAGTCAGTACATATTCATTAATTTTCTAAGTTGGTTGTAGAGGACAACTGGATGCTAATGGTTTAATAATTCTTTTAATATTGATGTGTCAGAATGAGAATTTTGTATTTTCTGCTTACTTTGAACAGCTTATTTTGAGTCAAGAAGACATGACTATGATAGTTAAAATGCTGTATGAAAATATATGGATTATAGATACCAGTCCTTCAGTAGCTACAGTCATAGAAGAGTCTAATGGTGTTAGTGATCCTACAACTCATCGTCTTTCTGGAGGTATGTTTTTTAACTTTAAGAAATAGTACAGGATCATATGGTTATTAGTTATTTATTAGTTTTGAGAAAATGTATGTGAGAACTTATTTATTAATACTTGCATATCTGAGGATTATCTGGTATAAATATTGCATTGCCATTTTTATTATAAATAAAAGTCAAGTATTGACATAATTCTCTATTTCTTGTTACTTTTCGCTTCTTTTCCCTTCTATGATGATTCTCAAATCTTTTTACCTATTGTTACCTGACTTTGTTTCACATCTCTACCTGTCTGTTGCATATCTCAAACAAGATGTCCAGTAGGTATCTTACATTCAATATGTCTAAAACCAAATCCATTTTTTTCCCCTCCCAACCCCTCTTCTCTGCCAAACTTCCCTATTAGTATCAAGAACACCACCATTTCCCCCTGCCTACCCCCTTCCACCCAGTCTCACAGGTTCATAACCTAGGTATCAACCTTAACTCCTTACTCTCCCTCACCTCCCATATCCAATCTAGTACCAACGCCTATTGATTTTACGTTTATTATATCTCTTTTGTGCACTCCCTTGTGTACTTCTGTCCTCTGACACACTTCCACTCTCCATGTATGGGTCTTTATCACTTCATACCTTGACTATTGTAATTACCTTCATATTGGTCTTCTTGCCTCAAGTCCCTTCCCAGTTCAGTCCATCCTCCACTCAGTTGCCAAGGTAATCTTCCTGAAGCACAGATTTGTCTATATCGCTATCACCACCACCCACCTCAATAAACTCCATTGGCTACCATTTGTCTTCAACATCAGATATAAAATTCTCTGTCTTTTAAAGATCAAAATAGAGAAGGAAAGGGAAAATTTATTAAAAAACAAAACAAAAACTTTTGTTATGTAGATTTTCTCATCAGAATGCTTTTTGGTCCTTATTTTTTTATTTTAAGTAGTGATGCGGTTGAAAGTATACTTGATCTAAACTCAAAGGACCCAAGTTAAGATTCTGGCTTTTCTACTTACTACCTATAACCTCAGGCAAGTGACTTAACGTTTCTAAGCCTCAGTTCTCTCAGCTATGAAATATGGGTTAACAGTGAAAGAGAGCAAAGATGTGTAGACTATGCAAGCATCTTGCTTTCAGGATCATGAATATTTGGAAGAAAAATTTTTTTATATGAATTTGCGATTTTTTTTTTTTTAGCATAGGGAGCTATGAGGAATTTCTGTACCGTTTCACTGCTACTCATCTTATAAAGAGAGTTGTTTGAGGTGACTTGCCCCGGGTAATAAAAATAGTATGTGTCAGCACATGAACCTAGGTTGTTTGACTGTCTTATTAGGTGAATTAAAAAGATGGGCCTTTGTTGCAGGGACAAACATGAGTTACTATATGATTTTATTTTAATCTTTGATTTATTCAGTACTTCTACCAGTATTTATGACAAATTGTATGTATTTTGTGTGTGTGTTTGTGTGTGTGTGTGTAGAGAGGGTAAGTTTTCCAGCTGACTCCTATATTGCTGCATGTTATAAAAAAAAAATTAAGTAAAAATGAATGCTAGTGAAGTCAAATCTTTTTTTCTCACCATTTTCTCTGGTGTCTGATGATTTTTTTTATCATATCTATTATATGTTCTCATCTGCTGAAGTCACTATCAAAGCTAAAGCTTTTTTTAAAAAGTGCTTTTCTGTTATTTTAATTCTCATGTTTTTCAATGCCTTCAATTTCTCTAAGGAACAACTTTAGTGACAGCAGCAGTGGTGGAAATGCATTCACATGCACCACGTATTAAGACTACATTAAACCTCAATTTCAGAACTGACTATATGACCTTAACTGTATACAGCCCAGATCCTAAAAATGTAAGTAATGGAAGCAGGTAAAATAATGTCCATGTTACCTTTCCAGTGGCATAGTTTTTATATCTAATTTTAGACCAGTTATGAAAAAAGCATATGAATGTATGAAATTACTAAGGGAGAGGATATAGAAAAAAGAGGAGGATAAGAACAGATATTTGGTTGAACCCCTCATTAATGTATCACTATGAGAAATCAGTGAAGGAGATAGAAGGAGCAGTTAAATTTAGAAATGTATTATCCGAAGATGAGGGAAGAGGGTTGTGGTCAATTGTGTCAGTAAAACAAAGGTAAGAAAGGTGACTGAAAAGTGTTATTGTATTTGATGATTAGGAGGTCACTGGTGACCTTTGAGAGAGCAGTTTCATTAAGAAGGATATATAAACTCAAAGGCACATGAAATGGGATAGAAGGAAAAAGGGAAGGATATTTATGGGCCTGGGGAAACCTAGGTGTGGTTTGTAGATAGATGGAAGGAGGTATTGTATCTAGGGAAAAACTGAAAATACCGGTATATTTAGGATAGGAACTGGTTTTTTTAAACCCCCTTTTCATTTTTGTGTTTTCAATGCCTAGCACAAAACCTTGAACATAGCATGTTTTTATTAAAATTTTTGTTGAATTGAATTGCTTCCATTATTAGTAGGCAAAAAAATTTCTGACATTCTAATATTAATGTTTGCATTTCCTTAAATCATAGAAAGCCAGGGGTTTATATATAATAAAGAGCTTAATCAACAATTTACAGTGTAATAAATTTTAAAATTTAATGTTTTTTTCCCACATATATATTGAACACTAACTTTCGTTACAATGGTGTTTTGATTTTTTGGGGGAAGGGGGAAGCAAGTTAATATTTGTGCTTATTTCTCTTTCAAATAGACTTCCTTCGTAGATGTTCGAGATCCTCAGTTGAAACTTGCAGAGTTTAAATTGGAACAGATTTTAATTGTGGGGAAAATGTTGACAGATGACTCAGTGTTTTTTTCATTGTCCTTGAAAAACTGTATATTAGAAGATAAACGGAGCCATATCCGGAAGGCAACTCCACAGTATGTATAGTAACAGTTTTCTGAGTTTATGATTAGGAATACTTGATTTATTACTATTACAAATCTTTAACGAAATGTCAGTTCTAAATCAACTTGCAAAATCATTACTTCAGGCACCAATAATAACAATAATTACATTTTATATAATTTTAAATATGGAGGCACTTCAAACATGATCTCATTTCATATCCATAGCAGCCCTGGGAGATTGGTTCTGCATATAGTTTTATACTTATTTTATACATGGTAAAACTGTGTTATATTCCATAGTTATACAGCTAGTAAATAATCTGAGGCAGCAATTGAAAGCAGGGTTTTTCTGACACCTGCCGTCTCCCTTTCAGTTGTACCACACAGTTTTCTTATTAAGTCATGTTAGGTAACCATGATAGGCAACTGTGTAGTAGTCTATTACCTTCTCAGATCATGTATGTGAGATACAATGGAGAGCCTCTAAAGAATTTTCATCATGACAAGAGCTACCCATTTCTTTGTCTTATTAGTCCTATGAGTACAAATGATATCATCAGAGGAATACTGAAGGATTACAGTGCTAACGATTACAAAGTCCTGGACAAAATACCTTTGGGGGGGATTATGAGAAATAGTAATTAGGGGGATCAGGATAGGCCTTTTGTAGGAAATGGCAAATGAACTAAGCCTTGAAAAAAAAAAGCTAAGGAATCTCTAAAGTGAGAATGAATATTATATTGTGAATTTTGTATAAGTGTATCTGATTGTCTGTGTAAAGTCAACAAGTATTTATTAAACTCTTACCATGTACTCTGCACCATGCTACGCATTAGGATTGCAAAGAATTGGCAACAGTCTTCTTTGTTGTTGTTCGGTCATTTTAGTTGTGTCTGAGCCTTTGTGACCCTGTTTGGTTTTTTTTTTTAAATTAATTTATTTTTTGTTTTCAGCAATCACTTCCAAATGCTTTTGATTTTTAAATTTTTTCCCCCTCCCTCCTGGCCTCCCTCCAAGACGGTGTGCAGTCTGATATAGGCTCTAAATATACATTCTTATTAAACATATTTTCACATTAGTCATGTTGCAAGGAAGAATTAGAACCAATAGAAGGAACCCCAAAAAAGAGGAAACAAAACAGAAAAGAAAAAAAGAGCAAATAGTATGCTTCAATATGCATTCAAACTCCATAGTTCTTTCTTTGGATATGGATAGCATTTTCCATCATAAGACTTTTGGAGATGTCTTAGATCCTTGCATTGCTGAAAAGGGCTAAGTCTGTCAACGTTAGTCATCCCATAATGTGGCTGTTACTGTGTACAACATTCTCTTGGTTCTGCTCATTTCATTCAGCATCAGTCCATACAAGTCTTTCCAGGTTTTTCTGAAGTCTGCCTGTTCATCATTTCTTGTAACACAATAGTATTCCATTACATTCATATAGCACAACTTATTCAGCTGTTCTCCAATTGATCGACATTCCCTCAATTTTCAGTTCTCTGCCATGAGAGAAAGAGCTGCTATAAATATTTTCATTTGAGGTTTTCTTGACAGAGGTATTATAGTGGTTTGCCTTGTCCTCCAGCCCATTTTATAAATGAGGAAACTGAGGCAAACAAGACAAAATGACTTTCCCAGGGTCACATGGCTAGTAAGTGTCTTAGGCCAGATTTGAACTCAGGAAGATGAATCTCCCTGACTTCAGGCCTAGCAGTCTTTCCACTTCTTTCATTCCAAAGGGGAAACAAAATGCAAACAATCATGTACATACAAGATACATACAGATTAAATTGGAGGTCATCTCAGAGGGAAGGTACTAGCATTGTGGATTATTGGGGAAAAAACCCTTGGATAAGGTAGGATTAGGTAGGAGTTGAGACTTGAAAGAAGTCAAGAGGTGTAGATGAGGAAGGAGAATTTTAGGCATAGGAGATAGCCAGTTAATAGGTATGAGGTTGGAAAATGAAGTGTCATACGTGAGGAAAACAAGAAGGCCAGTTTGAGTGGTACATGGAATACATGAAGGAAAATAAAATAAAATTCATTATCTTTGAAAGCTAAGCTGGAGCCTATTCATGAAGGTCTGTTTATGTTATCCTATACCAGAGGAAGCCATTAAATCATCTTCATCAAGAGAAGTAGCCTTTTCAGATCTGTCCTTTAGAAATATCAGATTGTCTCTTTCCCTGTTGCTGCTGAGTCGAGCGGGAGGTGGAGGCTTCTGGGTGTTTTCAAAATTTAGCTTCACTCATGAACCGCTGCCATGGCCGAGGAAGGCATTGCTGTTGGAGGTGTAATGGACGTTAATATTGCTTTACAAGAAGTGCTGAAAACTGCACTCATCCAAGATGGCCTGGCTCGTGGAATTCGTGAAGCCACCAAAGCCTTGGACAAACACCAAGCCCATCTTTGTGTTCTTGCTTCCAACTGTGATGAACCTATGTATGTAAAGTTGGTTTAAACATAAAGGGTGATACGATAAGCAACTTAGGGGAGCATGGATAAGGGAAGGGTTTGTGACCGAAGAAGAGAGAAAGAGGATCATGGGAAGTCAAATGGACAATTTTGATTAATGAAATGTAAAAGCAAAACTAATGCAGCCAAAATTAGAAGGAAAATGGGAAATTCAGAAAAATTTACATCAAGTTCCTCTGATAAAAGCATTGTTTCTCAAATATATAGAGAACTGAGCCAAATTTATTGAAATACAAACCATTCCCCAGTTGATATATGGTCAAAGGACATGAACAAGTAGTTCTCAGAAGAACTCAAAGCTACCAATAGTCACATAAAACAAGCTCTGAGTTACTATGGATTAGAGAAATGCAAATTAAAACAGCTGAGATACCACTTCACACTTACCAGATTGTCTAACAGGACCAAAAAGGAAAATGAGAAATGCTGGAGGGAATGTGGGAAAATTGGGAAACTAACACACTGACAGTGGAGTTGTGAACTGGTCCAACCATTCTGGAGAAAAATTTCGGACTTCACTCAAAGGGTTATAAAACTGTGCATTCCCTTTCACCCAGCAATACTACTTACCAGGTCTTTATCCCAACAAGAGCAAAGAGAAGGGGAAAGGACCTATTTGTACAAAAATATTTATAAGCAGCTCCTTTTGTAGTGGTGAAGAATTGAAAATTGAGGGAATGTCTATCAATCAGGGACTGGCTGATCAAGTTTTTGTATATGATTGTGATGGAACACTATTGTGTCATAAGAAATCACAAGCAGAATGGTTTCAGAATACCTGGGAAGACTTTTATGAACTTATTCAAAGTGAAGTGAGCAGAACCAGGAAAACATGGTGGATAGTAGCCCCAATATTGTAAGCTTGATCAGCTGTGAAAAACTTAACCACTCTGATCAAGAAAAGGATCCAATGCAATTATAAAGGACTCATGATTTTTTAAAAAAAATGCTTTCTACCTCCAAAGAGGGAACTTCTGAACTTTGAATGCAGTTTGAAGTATGCTTTTTTTTTTAAACTTAATTTTTCTTTTTTTCTTTTTCTTTCACAAAATGGGTCATATTGGAAACAGGTTTTGTATGACTTCACAGATACAATTAATATCAAATTGCTTCCCTTCTCATAGAAAAGGAGCATGACTGGAGGTAGGACAGGAATTTGGAACTTAGTATTTCCAAAAAATTAATGTTATAAATTCTTTTGTGTTTAATTGTGAAATATTGAAGAAATAAAAATATATTTTAGTGAAAAGGAAGCTGTTAATGCAGTCCAGTGAGATTTGCAAGGAAGCGGAAATGGTTTCTTCATTGCCTTCTTGGGACAACTTTTTCTTTAAAGATACCCTAAATTTGCTGGCACTAATGCTATTATCTAAAGAGAAACAGAATTTTTTTTTAGCCCTTTTTTGGTGTATGTGTCATGGGCCTCTTTATCAGGTTAAATTTTTGTATCCTTTCCTAGAATAATTTTTAAAAATTCATACAATTATAAAGGAAAGCAATTACAGTGAAATGTCTTTATCAAAATATTTTTTTAAAAAACCAGCAGTTCCAAGGGGACTAACAGTCTCCATTGCCTTATCATAGTGTACTATTTAGTGCTTTCCTTGTTAAACTAAGTGAAACATCTCCACAACTTTCATTATAATTAACCAAATTCCTTATATAGTTAAAAAGTTGAGGAAATTTTCGAAATCTTTGAATCTGTGATCATTTGTTAGATGTGTTCATATTGGGCCTGCCTTTGTGTAGAAATGGTGTAATCTTATGCCTTTCAGAATGATTGGACTTACAGTTGGCTTTGAAAGTAAGGATATGATGGATGTAAGATACAAACGAAGTAAAGATGGTGCTGTAGTCGATGCAATTTTACAAGAGCTATATCTCTGTGCAAGTATAGAATTCCAGAAGGCAGTTGCAGATGTCTTTCTTACAGCTTTTAGTAGTGGCATTGTTGTAGAGACTACTGCTGTTCAAAAGTGGTCCTCAAAAGAAGGTGAGTTATTAGTTTATACTGATCTGACAGCTTACAATTAATTTTGTTGTAGTGATGCAAAAGATTTTTTTCTTGGTGAAATCATAAATGTGATTAATGGTTTTTCCATATTTTAACATTGTATGATTTTAGAAATAATTTTTATTTTATTTTGTTGTTTTTCTATTTTTAAATAAATCATGTATTTTTAAAAAGGGAGAAGTGTGTGTGCATTTGCACACACATCAAGAAACACTTTTGAAAACTTAGATGTACTACTTATAAGATTACTCTAAACATCTTAATTTTACAATAACATTATGAATATGTTACAGCCAAAACTCACTGTGTAGTAAGTCATGAAACAGTAGTATAGTGGTTTAAATAAAAATTCTCTAGTACTTCACTACTGATTTTATCCATGTGAGTAGTCCCTTTGCTAATGAAGTTAGTAAATTATTCATGAATTAGATTATCTTCAAAATTTTTTGTCAAATATCCATCACTTATATTGTTAACTTGGTTATGAACCTCCATAAATCTAGCTAGCCTGGTCCTTGAATGGCAGACATAAAGACTCATACTCTTTTTAAATACATAAAATATCAGTACAACTTAACCTTTTTAGTACACAAGATTTAACACTAATATTTAAAATGTTATTTTATTTAGTGCAATTAGATACAGAAGAGAAATGGGAAGTGAATATTTTGATTAAAAACCCTGAAATTGTGTTTGTGGCTGACTTGTCAAGACATGATGCTCCATCATTAGTACTTACAACACAGTGTGAAATCTGTTGGAAGTGGGCACCTCTTTTAGAAACAATAACTGCTGCAATAAAAGATCTCCAAGTGAAAGCGTGTCCATTTCTTCCAGGAAAGAGAGAAGGCAAAGTCACTACGGTTTGTATTCTCTCTTAAATATCTTAGTTCAAATTAATTTACTTTTAAATGTTTATTGTTTACTTTTTGTTTTTCCATCAATGATTTTTCCAAATATATCATGCCTTCCTCCTCCATGCAGTGAGCCATTGTTTGCAACAAAGGAAAAAAAAGAGGCAAAAATGAAGTTTGGCAAAACTTCCAGCATATCTGATAATATCTGCAGTCTCAATGCCTTACGTCTTCAAAGGGAGGGACGTGCATTTTCTTAACTTCTCAGGGACACAGTGTTCATTGTCCCCTGACCACACCCTCTTGGTTGTTTTGATTTGCATTTCCATTTTATAAAATGAACTGCTTTTTCTTTTACATAATATATATTTTTGAGTGTGTTCCTCTCTACCCTTCTGTTCTTTATAAAAAAGAATAAATGAGATGTGAGGAAAAGTCATCAAGCAAAGCCAATCAACAAATCAAAGAAGTCTTACGTTGTATGTAATGTTCTATATCCATGGTCTCTTGATTCTGCAAGAAGGGAGAGAGAGATGCCTTCTCTTGTTTCTTCTTTCAAGCCAATTTTGATCCTTACAATTTTATAACATTCACTTTTAACTGTTTTGTTACTGTGTTCCCATTATTGTTATAATTGTATACTTTTTATTTTCCTGGTCTCCATTTATAGAGAAGCTAAATTCCTTGAAAAGGCTGTTTACAATAGATGAATCCACTTTCTCTCCTTTTACTCAGTTTTTTTTTTTTGTAGTGTAAATTTATTTATTTTTAGTTTTCAATATTTACTTCCACGAGATTTTGGGTTCCAGATTTTCACCCCTCTCCCCTCCCCACCCAAGATGACATGCATTCTGAATACCCTTTCCCCTAGTCTGCTCTGTCTTCTATCTCTCCCCCCTTCTCTTATCCCTTTCCCCTTCTATTTTCTTGTAGGACAGGATAGACTTCTCTACCCCATTTCCTGTTTTTCTTATTTCCCAGTTGCGTGTGAAAACATTTTTTTAAAACATGTGTTTTTAAAACTTTGGTTCCAAATTTCTCCTTCCTCCTCCCCACCCACCCTCATTGAAAAGGCAAGCAACTCAATATAGGTTATACATGTGCAGTTATGCAAAACACTTCCATAGTAGACATGTTGTGAAAAACTAACTCTATTTCCCTTAATTCTATACTGCCCCCCCATGATTCTATTCTTTCTTTTGACCCTGCCCCTCCTCAGAAGTATTTGCTTCTGATTACCTTACCCTTTCCCAATCTGCCCTCCTCTCTATCATCCCCCTGCTCTCTTGTCCCCTTCTCCCCTATTTTCCTGTAGGGTAAGACAGATTTCCATACCCAACTGAATGTGTATGTTATTCCCTCCTTAAGCCAAATCCTATGAGAATAAGATTCACTCATTCCCTCTCACCTTCCCCTGTTTCCCCTCCACTGTAAGAGACTTTTCTTTTCTGTTTTTTTGTGAGATAATTTACCCCATTCTACCTCTCCCTTTCTTCTCCGAGTGTCATCCTCTCTCATCCCTTAATTTTATTCTCCAGATATGACCCCTTAATCTTCAACTCACCCTGTGCCTCTATCTATCTATCTATCTATCTATCTATCTACCTACATGCATACATATAATTTTTTTCCTCCAACTACCCTAATACTGACAAAGGTCTCATGAGTTATAAATATCATCTTTCCATGCAGGAATGTAAACAGTTCAATCTTAATAAGTCTCTTATGATTTCTCTTTCCTGTTTACCTCTTCATGTTCCACTTGAGTCTGTATTTGAAAGTCAAATTTTCTATTCAGCTCTGGTCTTTTCATCAAAAATGCTTGAAAGTCCTCTATTTCACTGAATTACCATTTTTTCCCCTGAAGGATTATACTCAGTTTTGCTGGGTAGGTGATTCTTGGTTGTAATCCTATCTCCTTTGCCCTCTGGAATATTATATTCCATGCCCTGCGTCCTTTAATGTAGAAGCTGCTAAATCTTGTGTTATCCTGATTGTGTTTCCACAGTACTTGAATTGTTTCTTTCTGGCAGCTTGTAATATTTTCTCCTTGACCTGGGAACTCTGGAATTTGGCTACAATATTCCTAGGAGTTTTCCTTTGGGGATCTCTTTCAGGAGGAGATCTGTGGATTCTTTCAATTTCTATTTTGCCCTCTGGTTCTAAATATCAGGGCAGTTTTCCTTGATAATTTCTTGAAAGATGATGTCTAGGCTTTTTTTTGATCATGGCTTTCAGATAGTCCAATAATTTTTAAATTCTCTCTCCTGGATCTATTTTCCAGGTCAGTTGTTTTTCCAATGAGATATTTCACATTTTTCTAATTTTTCATTCTTTTGGATTGTTTTACAGTGTCTTGATTTCTCATAAAGTCACTAGCTTCCAATTGCTCTCTAATTTTTAAGGAAGTATTTTCTTCAGTAACTTTTGGACTTCCTTTTCCATTTGGCCAATTTTCTTTTTAGGGCATTCTTCTCCTCATTGGCTTTTTGGACCTCTTTTGCCATTTGGGTTAGGCTATTTTTTAAGGTGTTATTTTCTTCAGTATTTTTTTGGGTCTCCTTTAGCAAGCTGTTGACTTGTTTTTCATGATTTTCTTGCATCACTCTCATTTCTCTTCCCAGTTTTTCCTCTACTTCTTACTTGCTTCTCAAAATCCCTTTTGAGCTCTTCCAAGGCCTGGGACTGATTCATATTTTTCTTGGAGGCTTTGGATGTAGGAGCTTTGACTTTGTTGTCTTCTTCTGGTTGTATGTTTTGATCTTCTTTGTCACCAAAGTAAGATAATATAGTCTGACTCTTTTTGCGCTGCTTGCTCATGATCCTAAGCCAATTACTTGAGTTTTAAACTCTTTGTTAAGGTAAGAGTCTGCTTCCAATGTGGAGAATGTACTGTCCCAAGCTTCAGGGGTTTGTAGCTGTTTTCAGAGATACTTGTAGGGACCTGTAAATTTTCAGTTCTTCCAAGGTGGTATGATAAGGGCGAGGTGTTTACTCCTGTGCTCTGGTGTGACCACAAGCACTCCTTTCTGTCCTGGAACTGTGAGGAGGGTTCCTCTCACAGCCACTACAAGCTCCACCATGCCAGCTCCTCCCCCCAGACTGCCCAGAACTGTGACCCAGATCCAACATGGGCAAAGCAAGAGATTCCTGCCTCAGCACTGGCAAAGAGATCCCTGCAGTCTCCCTCTGATCAGCCACTTGATTCCCCCTCAGTCTGTGGGCTGGAAGTTCAGGAGGCACCCCCCGCCCCAGGCCGTGCTCCGGGAATGGAGCTGAGACCACCTCTCTCCTCTCTCAGTACCACAGAAACAGACTTTTCCCACTGACCTTCTAAGTTGTCTTTGGCGTTGGTGGATTGAGAAGTCTGGAAACTGCCACAGCTGCCTATGATTCAGTCCTCTGAGGCCTGTTCCAAGTTAGCTGCAGCCTGCGTGCCCACGCTGCCCTGCAATCCTCTCCCAGCCCGGCGCGATATACTTTTCTGATCAGCCATCCAGGTTGTCTTGGGCTGGAAATTTGCTTCACTCTGTCTTTTTGTGGGTTCTGCTGCTGTAGAATTTGTTTAGAGCCGTTATTAATAGGTATTTGGAAGGGTTTGGGGGAGAGCTCAGGTAAGTCACTGCTTTCACTCTGCCATCTTGGCTCTGTCCTTCTTTACTCAGTTTTCTTAAACCCCTTATAATCTGGCTTCTGACCTTGTCATTCCACTGAAACTGCTCTTTCTAACGTTATTAATGATCTCTTAGTTACCATATCCAGTGACCTTTTCTCAATCCTCATTCACCTTGACCTCTCTATAGCCTTTGACATTGTTTATCATCCTTTCCTCCTTGATAATCTCTTCTTTCTAGGTTTTCAGGATTGTATTTTCTCCTGGTTCATCTTCTGTCTTTCTGACCATTCTCTTCTAGGTCTTCTTTCCTTGATCCTCATCCAGATCATACTCTCCAACTGTTGGTATTTCTCATAGTTTTATCCTGGGCCTTCTTCTCTTCTTCTCTCAGACTGCTTCACTTGTTGATTTCTTCAACACTTGTGGATTTAATTGCCATCTCTGTGCTGACGGTTCTCAGATCTGTTTTTCTGATCTTGACCTTTGTGTTTACCTCCAGTCTCCCCTCTCTAACTACCTTTCAGAAACCTTGAACTGGATATCCAGTAGACCACTGAAGCTCCACATGCCCCAAACCAGACTCATCTTCTGCTATAAATCCTTCCCATCTCCTGTCTTCTCTATTACTTTAGAATGTGGCACCATTCTCCCAGTCTCTAAGGCTCACAACTTAGGAATTATCCTATATTCTTAACTGTCTCATATTCCCTCATGTTTAAGCTGTTGCCAAGGCCTATTGATTTCACCTTTGCAACATTTCTCCAATATACTCCATTCTCTCTTCTGACACTGCTGCTACCTTGGTGCTGCAGGACCTCATCACCTCATATCTAGAGTACTATAATAGTCTGCTCGTGTGTCTGCATTCCTCAAGTCTATTCCTACTCCTCCATTCATCCTCTCTTCACCCACTAAAATGATTTTCTTAAAGCACAGGTCCAGTCATGTCACACCTCACTCGATAAACTCCTGTGGCTTCCTTTTGCTTCTGGCAGGAAATATAAACTGCTCTGTTTGGCATTCAGACAGTCCCCTTCTGCCTTTCCAAGCTTTTTACACTTTACTCCCCAAAGTGTACTTTTTGATCCAGTGACACTGGTATCCTAGCTGTTACATGAACAAAATACTACATCTCTTAGACTGTAGGCATATTCTCTTGTTATCCTTTTCCTCCTTATTTCTTCCTACTTCCTTCTCTAACATTTTTTAAGTTCCAACTAAAATCCTATCTCCTGTTGGAGTCCTTTCCCAAGCCTTTTACTTCTAATGCCTTCCCTCCATTAGTTATTTCCTATTTATCTTGTGTGTTGCCTGCTTTGTATATATTTTATTGCATGTTGTCTCCCCCATTAGAGTGTGAGCTCCCAGAGAGCAGAGACTGTCTTTTGTCTTTTTGTATCCCTAGCACTTAGCACAATGCTTGTTATATAGCAGGAACTTAATGAATGTTTTTTAATTGAGTCTCTTTACTGTAGTAAGTTTTCCCAGACTTCTCTGGGTTTATCCCATTCATCATTTCTACAGCACAATAATATCCCACGTTGTATCCATGAATCACAGCTTGTTGAACCATTCCTCAATGTTTGAGAATCTGCTTTGCTTGTACTTTGCTACTACAAAAAGTGCTATGAATATTTTGGTGTACATGGGACCATTCTTTCTTTCTTTGACCTTCTTGAGGAGCATATCTAAGAATCTGAACTCTGTATCAGATGGTATGGACGTTTTAGTCACTTTGTTGGTATAATTGTAAATTGCTTTCTAGAATAGTACTGAAAATTCAAATGAAACTGTGAGTCCATTATTTTGGCAGTCCTCTTTAATGATATGGATTGCAGGTAATCAATGACTATTCATCCTGTTTGACTTTCCTGTCCCCCTCTAAGTTTACCACTAGAGAAGTTCAGAGTGGTAGAGGTCTTCCTTGTTTGAGTGAAATATTATGGCTATCCTCCCTCCTTCCTGTTGTGAGTGTCCATTTTCCCTTACTATCATATAATAAATTGTTAATTCTTCTTTCCTGTCCCAGATAACATAAGATCTATAGATGTTCCATTTTCATGTGTGTTGAAATCTGGGCAATAGAGATGCTTCATCCATTTGCTCTTTCCTTTGTGATTGTGGGCCAAGGTCTTTTGCATTATTGTGATTCTGTTCCAAGAGGTTCTGCTATTTTCTTTCCTTCATTTCTCTTATATAGCTACATTATGTAGTAGAAAGTATGTTGTATCTGGAATCAGGAAGAAAGTTGAAATCTGGATTTCCACATTTCCTAGCTTTGTGATCCTAGGCAAGTCATTTAACCTCTATCTACCTAAGCTTCATCTGTAAGATGAACATAATAATGGTACGTGCCTCCCAGGGGCGTTGTGAAGATCAAAGGAGATAAAATTTGTAAAGTGCTTTGCAATCCTTAAAGTGTAATATAAATGCTAGATGTTGGTATTGTTATTATTATCATTTATTATACTGTCTGTGCCATAATACTAATGGACAAGCTTTATAGTACAATATTGTTCAGAAGCTGACTGGACTCATCAACTATAGGGAATCATTTAGCCTGGTCGTTCTCCTTTATCACAGTGTTTAATGGTTTTAGCAAGTGAGTGTGGCAGGTGGAATAAAACAGGGATGTGGGTATGTATGTGTGTGTGATACGTGTATACACACACACACACACACACACACACACACACACACACCCCCTGTTTTATTCCTCTCTTGATGTTCATGATCAGAGAATTGTTGAACAGGGTTATATCTGTTATTGTATCTTTCACATAATCTTAAATAACTTAGATGTAGGGAAAGGCAACCATTTTGAGAGCCTAAAAGGCAATATTTTTTACCACCAAAATTTTTTTTTTTGCATGTGTGTAATCAACAAACAAGAAGCACAGTGGAATCTTTCATTCTCAACATCTTTCAGTCATGTAAAGATAGCTGCTGGCTAGTACTTTATAAAGATACCTTCATGTATTGATAACTTATAAAGATTTCACATAGATGAGAGAATAGACATATAGTCGATGTTCTCTCAGTAACCTTTTCTTAGGTATTAATAACTTCCAAGATTTTAAACATTGTGTATGTGTGTGCACGCATGTGTATGTTTATTTGTGTTTATATCTATTCCTCAATGTGCTTCCACCTTTTTTACCTCTATCTTGGATCTCTTCTTCATACTCTTGGTCTAATCTGGTTATTTTTCTTCTGTTCTCTTTAGTGCCGTTTATGCCTCTTCTATAAGCTCATTTAACATTATGATATTAGGGTCAAAATGTGCTGCCATCTCCTGTCCTTGATAGAAAAAACATTTTGCTAAATAGTTTTTTGCAAATCATTTCTATTTTTCTTCTATTTTCAGTTCTTATCTTTTTATCCCTGAATACTTCTGCGATAACTTTGCCCATTTATCTTGTTCATCTTTAAATTGTTTTATCCTCAGTTATTTCTCTTTGCTTTATGAGATAATACTGCTAATACTGATCCATCATACTCCTCTGTAAGATTTCGCAGATCAGTTTACATTTTATTCTGGTATTGTGGTTTGCAACCATTTCACTCTGGCTTTCCAAATGGTGGAACTAGTTTATAACTCTGTCAGTTCTTAGTGTGCTTTTATAATACACATATCTTTTTTTGTAACAATTTTAATATTAACTAAAACCATGTTCTTTAATTGTTTGAGATCAGCCCTTAGAATTGTTTTGATTTGTGTAACTAATGATTTGGAATATTCTTTCATGTCATTGCTAGCCTTCTTTTGAGAAGTATTTGTTCAACATATGATTTGACTGTCTTATTGGGGTATGCCTCTTGGTCTTATATGTGTTTGTTAGTTCCTGATGTATATCTGTGACAACGTAGCATATGTTGTTGGATTTAGTTGATTTGTTGGTTAATTTAACTGAACTATTTTTTCTCCCTTTTTTTTGTTCAGTTTTCAGTTTAGTTTGACTCTTTGTGACCCCATGTGGGGTTTTCTTGGCAAAGATACTAGAATGGTTTACTATTTCCTTTTACAGCTCATTTTACAGGTGAGAAAACTGAGGCAAACAAGGTAAAGTGACTTGAGCAGGGTCCTTTTTTTTAATAAGAAGCCTTTGCCAGGACTCCAGGAGAGTGCCTTCTCCTGGACATTTTGTCAAATTTTTACTGTCTCTGCCTCATTTGCTGTAGTAAGTGTTTGGGGCCATATTGGAACTCACGGAAGATAAGTCTTCCTGACTCAAGCTAAGCACTCTGTTCACTTCGCTACCCAATTGCCCCTTTTATTATTGTTTGTCAAAAGGAATTACTCTTTGGGTATATGAAGAGAAGGGGATATATGGGGAAATTAAATGTGATAGAAAAACAAGTAATCAGGTAAAAAAAAAGTTTGATTAAAAAAAATTAATGCCCTATTCCGCTTCCCAACCATGTAGTTTTATAGCTATGAATGACAACCTGATAGATTCTCTTCTCTTCTAAGTTGTTTTTGTTTTGTTTGGTGGTGTGGCTTTTTAAAAAATTTAGGTCAACTATCCATTTTTTTTAAACTTAGTACATATAGAGTTTTGGTTGAAATCTAATTTCTATTAAAATTTTCAGTTTTCCTATCAGTTCTTATCAAATAGAAAATTCCCCAAGTAATTTGTGTTCTTTTATTTATTAATAAACATTGGCCTATAAAGTTCAGGGGGTTTTTTTTGTTTCTCCCTTATCTGAGATATTCAACTGATCTAGTTTTCTTTTTTTTGTCAGTATTAAATAGTTTTGATGATTGCTTCCTTTTAATATAATTTAAAGTCTGGCTGTGCTATTATTTATTACTGGGCTTTTTTATTTGTTTTCTTTATTTATTACTTCTTTTCCTCCATTAGGTTCCTTGAGATTTTAGAACTTTTGTTCCTCCAAATGAATTTTTTGAATTATTTTGTCTAGTTCTTTAAAAGGTCCCCTTAGTTTTAAAAATGATATTGGATTAAGATTCTAAATTTATTTAAATAGTTACCATTTTGTTATATTGGTGTGGCCTTACTATAAGCAATTTTAGTGAAACTAATTCAGTTTTATTGCTGATCTCTGTAGTCTTATTGGCAGCTAGGTGGCACAGTGGATAGAGCAATAAGCCTGGAGTCAGCAAGACTTGAGCTCACATTTGAAGTGAGTCCCTTCATAGCTGTGTGACTCTTGGCAAATCACTTAACCCAATTTCCTCTGTTTCTTCATCAGTAAAATGAGCTGGAGAAGGAAATGGCAAACCACTCTAGTATCTTTGTCAAGAAAATCTCAAATGGGGTCATGAAGAATTGGACACAACTGAACAACAACAGCAAAAAATAGTTTTATTAGTAAACATTAGCAAATAGAGGCAATTTTATCTCTTCTTTGCCTGTGTTTTATGCCTTTAATTATTTCCAGAACTATGTCAGATAACAGAGAGGAATGGGGAAGTCTTTGCTTTTTCTCCTTTGCTTATTGGGCAGGTTTCTAATTTTTCACCATTTCAAATGATGTTAACTTTTGGTTTGAGAGAGACTTTTCATCATAAGCTCTAGCTCTAGGCTTATGCTTTGTAGAGGTTTTTTTTTTTTAATATAAATGAAGTTGTACTTAAGGTTAAAGCCTTTGTCAAAGGCATTTTCTGTACACATTGATCATGTAGTTTGAGATATTTCACTCAATTTAACAAACTTATAAAACATAATATGTGCAAGACACATGTGACATGATAGGGATATGGAGGGGAAAAATGATATGGTTATAGTGAAAAAAACAGATTCTAGACCTGCATTATGTGTTATGATCTGCTTTCAGATTTTTCCTCTTTTGGATGCATTTTTATGGTATTATTAAATGAGCTTTGTTTCATTAAATCTTATGTTATTTAAAGGATATTGAGGGTTTTCCTGACTGATCATCTTTTTCTCTCAGGTTTTACAGCCATGTGACTTGTTTTATCAAAGTATTCAAGAGGGTACAGATCCACAGACGGTTGACATATCAGTAAAATCCCTGACACTCAAGGTTGGTTAAAATATTGTTCAAAGACTTGATTTTAGCTGTTTTTTTTTTAAAAAGTAGAACCTTTAACTCCATGAAATTCCTTTTCATCAAAAAAGTATGTAAATGCTAAAAAAAAAATGCACACCTACATTTTGTTTTATGTATGTTTTTGGAGCTTAGTATTTTTTTTTTTTACTTTATCGAAAGGTTGGTTCCTCTCATAATTGAATTTTGTGAAACATTTTAAAAGAAGTGGTAAATGCCTTTCTTTGTCAGAATTTTTGGGTTTCTTTTTTCCCACTTAATTCATGCATTTATTAAAAAAGAATATTCATTATGTATGCCTCCTGTTTACAAGGCACCAAATTTGGTGTAATGGGAGGAAGTATTATGAAGAGGAAGGCACATTTTCTGCACTCTCAGTATCATATAGTACACTATAATATTTTTGATAAATAACTAACTTATCTGAATTATAGTTGATGTTTATAGAACTGGGAAATCACATTGGAATATAGACTAATAATTGCTTTTATATGACACTTATGCTTTATAAGATGCTTTATATATACATCATTTAATTTTAGTTTGCTCTACTGTAATTCTAGTACTTTTCAGCCAATTACTTTATAATGAAGTTGGATAACAATATTACTAAAGGTAAAAACAGTATATTCTATTCCCTTCCCCCCTATTAATATCATTTTTACCCAGTGTTTAGGATATGAATTCAGTACTTTTCATAATGCAGATGTTATTTTTGGAAGTACTTTTGTTCATGGTTGATTTTTTCCCCCTAGATTTCACCTATTATCATAAATACCATAATTACTATTATGTCAACATTTTATAAAACTGTAGAAGTTAAGCATCGAGAATCATTTCCCTCTCAGCCAGAGTTATGGGACAAAATGGATACAAAGAAGCTGAAAATGTGGTTTCTTGAAGAATCAAGTGATAATGAAAAGGTGGCTTCTGTGACAGAGTTGGTTCCCAATGGAGAAATGATAAAAATGACTATTGACTCAATTTTTGTAGTTCTTGAAGCTGGGGTTGGTCATAGAACAGTACCAATGCTCTTGGCTAAGTCGTATTTTTCAGGGGAAGGAAAAAACTGGAGTACTCTAATCAATCTTCACTGTCATCTTGAGTTAGAAGTAAGTACTCAACAGTATTATTATCCCTTTTTCTAATACTTACCACAAAGAATAGTATCTTAGTTTTATGGGGTTTTTTGCCAGTTCATTTCATTACTTACAACAGGTGATAATAGATATGACTTGTTAGTTCCTAGGGCAGAAAGTCTTAATGTTGCAGTTAGTGAACACCTTTAGCAATAATTTTTAAACTAAATTTAGACTTCTATTGGTGGAAATTTTTTTAATTGAATTAATATAACGTTAATATTGACTTAAAATTTAAGAAATTCAAATTTCTGCTTAAATACACATAGAATTAGAAGGGGATCTCAGAGGATAACATTTAAATGAATAATGTCCTTTTTTTGATACCTCTAGTTAATAAGAGGTGTGCCGCCTTCCAACACAGCTGATTACAGTTTTGATAGCTCCAGTTATAGGAAGTTCTTTTGTATATTGACCTAAAATATGCCTCATAATTTTTATATATTGTTTTCCCTTCTGAGGTTCAACAATAAGTATGCTACTTCTTCTATATGATACTTCAATATATTTTAAAATATTTCAATATAACTCTTATGTTTCCTCTAAATTTTCTTTTTGTATTTCTCAGTTGTAATTTGGTTCAACTTATTAATCAGGTGGGTTTAGCGTTTTTATATATTTATCTATGTTTTCATATAGTTCTGTGTTAAAATGTTTCGTTTTATTTAGCTATCAAAAAAGTTCTTTTTGAAACTTCCTGATACAAAATCTTTTCCAAATAATTAAAGCCAGATTTCAAATTTTTAAACTGGTTTGAACTTTGCATTTTATTTAGTCTGACGAGTTCAGGAAATTCAGAGCATCATATGAAGAAATCTGGAGTTATACAGTATTAGAATATGAATGCCTGATTTTTTTCCAAAATATCACTTTAGGTACATTACTACAATGAAATGTTTGGTGTATGGGAACCTTTACTTGAACCTTTAGAAATTGATCAAACTGAAGATTTTAGACCATGGAATCTTGGAATAAAGGTACATATGATTTCAGATGAAATTAACCTATTTTACTGGAAAAATTAATAATTGAGTAGATCTCTTCTATATAGAACAGAGATTATGTAACTCTGAGGGTAACAGTGAAAGATTAATATTCTAGGTCTACCAAAGCATACATCTTTTTGTAACCACTGAATAAATGGACTTTTTAAAAATAGGAGACTATGTTTTATAGTAGCATAACTTGTAAAATGTTGCTTATCTCTGACATTCTTCAGTTTCTTTGTGGTATATAGTTCCTAGAGGTTAAAGAATTTTAAAGTAGAAAGGAACCTTAGGGATATATACATCATTGTTTTCATATGAGGAAACTGAAGCCCAGAGAGGTTAAGTGTTTTGTTCAGGGTCAGAGCTGGGACTTTATGTAATTTCTAGTCCATTGTGATTATTCCCTATGCTGCAATTTAATCTACTGAATGCAGTTTGTACGTTTAGCTATCTGTTAGTCATAAGATTGGGGTGTATGGGTGTTCAAGGAGGATTAGCACCTCTGTTATGAGAGCTTGCCAAACCCTTTTCAGGACTGCTTATCCACCTAGCACTCAACTCTCGCCTGTGGCTCTAAGAATCTGTAGCATGTGAAGTGCCCACACCCTGGTAAACTGTCTTGGTAGATGGGCCAAACTAGACTGATAGTAACTGATAGGCCACAAACCTGTTGTTGAATTAGAGGGGTGTTTGCCCCTAGACATGTGACGACTTCTCCCCAGTGGGATGGGTGGATGAGAACAGTTTGTTCCAGTGCCCGTGAAGGTGGCTAAAGCAGGTACCATGGAGCGCTTAGAGTTTGGTCAGATATTGAAGATACCAAGCTCTTTAGCATCCTGGGCCATCACCAGTCATCCTGACTTTTGTCTTGCCACTGGACTTCAGTGACTCTGGAAAAAAAAAGTGAAACTGACAGCTTTGTGCAGCTCTGCCTCACTTAAATCCAATTCACACATGATTTGAGATATTACCCTGTGATGTCGTTGTTCCTCTTTGAAAACGAAGAACAAACAACAAATCATAAGATATGTTACCTTAGGTAAGAATCAAGTTTGACTTTCAAGCAGTACCCTTTTCTCCTTAAGCTAGGGACAGAATTAAGAGGCAAAAGTAGATTGGATATGGTTTGAAAACACAAAAGGATCATAAGCAACCTCATGTTTCTTTTTTTTTCCTTTCTCACTGTATAAGCAAAAAATAGTTAAGAGACTAAAAAAGTGTTTAAAAGATATCATTCTTTCTTCTTGGACAGAAGACAAGGATAGGGAATATATAGTCCAAAATTATTCTTTACTCCTAGACCTCTTTTTTCAGTGATATTCTTACTCACAGATAAACTAGCAGGCTCTTCGAAATGGAGATTGGGAAATAACAAAGCTAGAAGTTTTAAAAGAGTACTGTAATTTTAGGCTGGTAGACCACAAGTATTCAATTATATAACATCCATTATACAACAGAATGTAAACTCCTTAGACAAACGCTTCTCCACCCGACTAAGTACTAAGTGCTTGTTAACTCAATCACTTAAACATAGAAAGCAATTAATAAGTTGGATTGAATATGGCTAAATAAAATTAGGGAAATGGGAATGATGTAAGTTGAAGGATGCTGAGTGCATATTCTTTTTAATTTTTTTGTATGCTTACTCCAAAATATATTTTTTAAAGTTTATTTCTAAGTTGTATAGTTGTATCTTGAGAAAAAAAAGAACACATTTAATTTCAGTGAAAATTAGATGCTTAAAAAAAGATGTCTTAAAATTTTCAAAACTGTATCAGAAGAGATAGTTCCAGTCTCTGCTACTCAAATTAGCAACAAGTGTCATCTGACGCCCTGTTCTTGTGCCATTTTGTGATTTAGCGTTTCTTAGGAAGGTGGAAAGGCTTTGATTAGTGGCATGGTAACAGATTATGTGTTTGTCATCCGAGTACTTACCTCAGTAAGTTTAGGGAGAAAATTATTCTCAACATTGCTTATAGGTGATGAATCTTCAACAAAATTGTTTTGTTGTTGTTGCCATTACTATAATGAATGCTCTTGCACTTCCATCTTCTCCATCCCAATCTCATGTGAAGATGTGGCGCTTCTTCTTGCTGAAGCAAACTCTAATAGATAGGTGAACCTATTTTATCTTTTTTTCTTAAGCAAATTGCCCCTCTATTATCTCTTCTGTCTAATTGATCTTGAATCTCTCCTTGTCTTAGTGGCTGCTTTCTTACTGTGTACAAATATGCCTCAAAACAAAACAAAAAAAAACCCCACTGATTTGATCAATTAGCTTTTGCTAATTACAGTGCTGTATATTTCCTTTTTTTTTTTTTATAGCTCAGCGTCTAAGAAGGCCATATTCTCCTTTGCTCTCAGTCTTCTTAAATCAATGCAGCCTGATCTCCAACCTCATCATTTAATTAAAACTACTTTCTCCAAAGTTATCAAATTGCCAAATCTAATGGCCCTTTCTCAGTTCCCATTCTTCTTGACCATTGATGGCCTCAGACAGACTGACACCTGGGAAAGACCTTAATTGAGAAGGTCACCCACTGCATCCTGGGCCATTGACAGTTGTCTTGACTTTTGTCTTGCCACTGGACTCCAATGACAAGAGGAATGAGGCTGATGACTTTGCACAGCCCTGCTTCAGTTAAATCCAGTTTATGCATGAGTAAAGACATCACCTTTGTGATGTCATTGGTCCTCTTAGTGAAGAAAGACAAGCAACAACAACAGCTTTTGACACTGTCAGTCACCCTCTTCTCCTTGACAGTGTCAACCTCCAGAGTTTGGTCTAAAAAAGACAAACAGAATTAGGTTGTCTGCGTGTTTATTAGCTCCAGCAGGCAGTGGGCATGCAGAGCTGCATTCGGAATTTAGCTTGCTTTGGGGTTAAGTTGCACAGAATGTAAAGACATAAAGCAGGAAAGTTCGCCTGACTCAGGATGTCTGTCCTTTTGTCAGCCAAGATTACAGTTTCCAATAAGCAAGGAAGTCCCCCTGACTCAGGATGTCTGTGCAAACTTAATCCAGTCTTGTGGTTGCTGTCAGAGCAAGATTTCAGGTTCACTGAGAGAGTATCACAGAAGGTTGTTGGTATGCCAGTCCAGAAGGGCTCATCATCCTTTCTGATTGGCCAATCCAGGTTTTGGGCCTTCTTCAGTTGATTAGGGGCTCAAGCAGATCTCACATCCCCTTTTGGTCAAAGGGTGCCAAAGGTACCACCTGCAGACCAAAGGAAAGTATGGGGAAAAAACCTTTCTCTTCCTCAGAGAGCAGGAAGAGCAGCCCTAGCTTCCCTTCCTTATTGACCAGGGGATCGCCCTATTTCCACAACCTTTTGTGTCTGAGGTGGGTCTTGCAGATCAAGGGGGAACAACCATGAACTGCACTACCTTGCTCAACAAGGTAGTGGAGCATTTGTGGGCCAAAGCCAACCCCATTGGAGCTTTGAGTAAGATAAAAGTGAGGACAATAAGTACCCCAGTGGCAGAAAGGAGGGATCTGATTAAACCACCCACCCTTGGGGAAAGAGAGCTGAACATGTCATACCACTGGGTCCCTGCCACCTGCTCCCTCAGCTGAGTGGCATGTATGTGGAAAGAATTTGTGCTGTACAGATTTATTGAGAGAACATACCAAGGAATGATGGTAGGCTGAGAAAGAACGAGAGGGATCTGGGGACCTGACTGATGGAAGTAGATTTTCCCAGCCCTAAATTGATGCTCTTGGTCCCTTTGGAGGAGGTATTGTATAGGAGCAAGGACTATGAAAGGAGTGTACTCATTGAAGGATTCAGGTGGAGTAACTAGGTGCTCAAATAGATGAGCAGCCATTGCAATGCAACCAAAAGCAAATAAAGAAGGCGACCAGAAAGGAGCCCAAGGTAGGGGAAATGAGGGGCAAAGTGAAAGAAAATCATACAGCTAAAGCAAACCAAAATCAAAGCTATGGCAGCCAAGAGATATGGGCATATGACATGTAAGGATCTGGAAAGGGGGGCTCAAGTGGGGAGGGAGCCCTTCTCCTTGCAGGCCTGGTCTGGATTCTTGGGAGAGGTGTCTGTCCCAGGTGAAGTCTTTTTTGGGCCCTTAAAAAGTGAAAGGGCAAGGCCTTCAATCTTCAGATGATCCAGGTATGGTATGACCTACCCACAAGTTTGGCAGCTGTGGTAGTGGTCAGAAGGACTTGTGAGGGGCTCTTAAAATACATATGAGTTGACAGTTGAGAGAAAATTCCTTTATCAGTCTTTGGATCTGAGTTTCTGGTCGGCATAACATAGGTCCTTGGTTAAAGACACATAGAAACAGTCCAGTTTCACAGCCACACAGGGCTAGGTTCAAACAGTGTGATAAGTTTTTCTTACAGTTCCATAATTACATAATTACATTAACTCAGGTACAGCTCAAACTACAGAGTGCTTACAATGGACTAGTCCAAAGGAGGGAGATTTACATGTTACCAAGGTAACCAAGAAAAATATGAACCATGAAAAGCAATAAATCATTATTGCCAGTGTTAACTAACATTAAGTCTCCTTGTATTCCAGTAACCCATTCTCAATGTCCATTTAATCAGCCCTTTTTGAGTCCCAGATGTCTCATGTAGTTATCTGGTCCCTAGACATCTTTTCTTGGATAATAGGCTTTATTCTCAGGACTGCTCTGAAGGAGGTTTTACTTTTCTGCTTACAAATCTAGAGATTATTAAATAATTCTGATTAGTATAGTTTAGTACAGTCACTTAAATTTTGTTCTCCAATTTTGAAACTTCAGAGAATTTCAGTTTATATACTATTTGCTGTTTCTATCACTACTTAAGTCTAGTACCTGGTATAAGTATCTTTTTTTTTTTTTTAAATTGAGGGTCCAACCATAAAATGAGCTCTTCTGTCTTTTAAAATTATGAGCCGCGTGCTTTAATGATGGGAAAATTATTTCACTTTCTTTAACCATTAGCCGTACAATTTATGTGTAAAATCCAGCTTTGAGAACTTA